TATTTCGCTCAGAAGGCGGACTAGCCGCCTTTCTTGGACTTTTCCGGGCCGGGCGTGCAAGAAACAGGACGAGCAAAAAACAACGTCGGCGTTGTTGTTGTTACACATAACACTCTCGTGAAATTTCCGATTTTCTTGCGTCAGCCAAGGACTCGGTCTCATTGAACGACATTAATGTCACAAACAGGTGTGTTGGGACCGGTAGATGATGCAAAATATCCTCATGATTACCCTTAGCGTTCGCCTTTATTGAAATTCGTCTGGCAACGAGAACCTGGCGCGTGTACCTGACCGTCTCAAATTCTCATGAGACAGAATATAAACACACATGCAAAATCGCGACATTGTTGCGTGACGGAGATTTTCGAACGAGGTCGCTATCCGATACGAGCCGACTTTCGTTATGTTCGTTATTATATAATAATTGCTAAAATAAATTTAAACTAAAGTTATATTTTGTGGAGCAATAATAGATATTCTTTTATATATATACATTTTCTAAATAAATTAATAATCTGTTTATTTATAAGATAAAAAATATACAATATAAAAGAAATTGTATATAGAATAACGTCACATAAGAGCATTTCTTTCTTTTCCTTATTGATACAAATGAAAAGACGCAACAGCATTTTTTTTTTAATGGAAACCTTTGATTGTTTTAAATATAAATTAATTCTGGAAATATTTTGTATAAAAATAAATTTTTTGTATAAAACGATATAAAGTAATAAACAGTTGCATAGTTTATGAGATGCTGTACTTTGACGTATTTTTATATAAAACATTTCAGACAACACAAAATATTTATGATAAATATTTATTACTATTTTTGGAATGTTACATAAATGTTTCATATATTTTTTTTACGTAAAGTTTTATTCGAAATATTATTAAAATATTGGTCCGCCACCAAAATCCGGACAAAATGAACAATTTGTTTAAACAAAATTCTATTCGTCAAAATGTAAAAATTACAAACAAAAACTTTTTATTTATTTATTCTTCTTTATTAAAAAAAACTTTTGTACATCACTATCCTGGTATCCGTTTCAAGTAAAATTACTGTATATAATCTCCTTTTGCTTTGATGACTGCTTCGATCCTCGACTTGAAGCGCTGGCACGCTCTTTGCAACGCGTCCTTGTCCATATTAACGAATGCCGCCTCGATAGCGGTCTGGAGAGATGTCACATTGGGATGTCTCGACTCGTTGGCCACTCGTTCAATGACGCCCCACACGTAGTAGTTCAGCGGATTCAAATCTGGACTGTTCGGCGGCCAGAATTCCTTGGACCAAAACATGTCCATGTTATCCGATAGCCAGTTTTGAACCAAGTGACTCGTATGCGCCGGCGCACCGTCTTGCTGGAAGATGTACGGCCTCCCGGCAGCCACGGTATCTATCCACGGCTTCACTACGGTCGTCAAAACGCGTAAATAAACCTCTTTATCGATGGGTTCTTTCTTTTGAAAAAAATGTGGTGGCATGACGTGACCCTCATTGGAGACGACACCTAGGACGTAAACAAAGGCCGGAAACTTTGTCCTAGCTGTTATGGGGACATCTTCGGGGTCGTGGACGAGCCAACGGTCGTTCCTCCGATTAGCCTTGGCATCGACAGAAAAAATTTTCTCGTTCGAAAAGAACTTGATGTGTTCAGCGTTTTCGTTCTTCAACGAACACAGAAGCAAGTTACAGCGAGTAACTCTGTTCATCCTGGCAGACTCGGAGAGCATTTGTCGAATTTTAATCACATAGGACTTGAAGCGTAGATCCTCTTCAGCAATTAGACGCATTGTAGTGTCACTCACACGCAATGTTTTTGCCAACGTTGTCAGAGACAGTCCTGGGTCCTCTGAGATGAGCTCTTGAGCCCTTTCGATAATTGCTGGAGTCCTTACCGACTTTTCTTTCGAATGCTTCTTTCTCGTCGAGTTGGCAGAACTTTTTTCGGATGTCTCCGAAGCGAAATATTTAGCCGCGACATCATAAACAGTCGATCTCGGGTATCCGAGGAAGCGAATAATTTCGGTCTGCGAATGCCCAGAGCGAAGGCCTTCGATTATCGCCGCTCTTCGGTTATACTCCGCATTCGATCCTATCTGTTTGGACATTCTGAGGTTATGCACGCTTACTACAAACAGCTGACTTGCCCAAATGTGCCTAAATGCCAACAACGACCTATCGCCCGCCGAAGTCTTAAGCCAGCAGCACACGATGCTTGTTTTCCTACTGGATT